ACTTTATTTTGAAGTGTTTTATATATTTTAATCTTCTTCTTGTTGTGCCATATCCGTTATTGCACATTGGCGATCCTGTTTTTATCAGCAGCCGCACGAAAAAGTGCTGCTGAGTTTTGTCCAAACCAGTCCCCTAGATTTTGAAGCCATGATGTTCTTCTTCTTCCTTGACCTCGTTTGCCTTCAGTCTTTCCCTGGAGGATTAAATGGAGTAACACGTATTTTTCTGGGTGTCCCATCACATGTCTGAAATATTTTAATTTTCGTTTTTTAATTGTTTTGATGATTTCCCTTGGCTTTCCCAGGCGGCTTATCACCTCCTCTTTTCTGATCTTGTCAACCCAGCTTATACGTAACAGCCACCTGTAAATCCATATTTCAAATGCTTCTAGTCTCTTCAGGTGGCCTTCTGTCAGAGACCAACTCTTACTCCATAGAACAGGATAGAAAAAATATAACATCTGACAAGCCTGATTTTCAGTCTTAGGTTTATGTCATGACTGCAGAAGACCTTTTTCATTTTGAAGAATGCTGTTCGAGCTTTCTCTATCCTTGTCTTTACTTCAGTGGTCATGTCCCAGCTTTCATGTAAATTAGAACCAAGGTGCGTGATCCTTTCAACTTTTTCTAATGGTATTCCTTCCGAATTTATTGGTGGAAAATCAACGGGCTGTTGATTTTGTATTTTAATGGAGAGATACTAAATATATTTTCTTCTTGTTGTTGTTGTTAATTGCGAAGTCGTGTCCGACCCATAGCGACCCCATGGACAACGTTCCTCCAGGTCTTCCTGTCCTCTACCATCTTCTGGAGTCCATTTAAGTTCACACCTACTGCTTCAGTGACTCCATCCAGCCATCTCATTCTCTGTCGTCCCCTTCTTCTATTGCCCTCAATCTTTCCCAGCATTAGGCCCTTTTCCAGTGAGTCCTTCTTTCTCATTAGGTGGCCAAAGTATTTGAGTTTCAACTTCAGGATCTGGCCTTCTAAAGAGCAGTCAGGGTTGATCTCTTCTAGGACTGACCGGTTTGAACGCCTTGCAGTCCAAGGGACTCGCGGGAGTCTTCTCCAGCACCCTAATTCAAAGGCCTCAATTCTTTTGCGCTCAGCCTTTCTTAGGGTCCAACTTTCACAGCCATACATTGCAACTGGATTTTCTTCTTAAAGATAGTTAAAATATGGATACAGATAGTCCTTGACTTAACCATTTGTTTAGCAACCATTCAAAGTTGTATATGGCACTGGAAAAGGTGACTTAAAACAGTTGCAGCATCCCCACGGCCCCGTGTTCAAATTTCAGGAAACAGGCAACCATCCTCTATTTATGATGGTTGAAGTGTCCTGGGTCATGTGAACACTATTTGTGACCTTCCCAGATAACATATGACAAGCAAAGTTAATGGGGGAAGCCAGACTTGCTTAATAACCATGTAGTTCATTTAATAACTGCAGCGATTCACTTAACAACCATGGCCAAAAAGGTCAAAAGATTGGATGAAATTCATATATATTATTTCAGGCTCATTAGCCTTCATCAGCTAGTCACACCCTTCAGGGGTTCGAACCTGGGCAGCTTGCATGTTAGGCAGCTGTATTACCCTTTTGAGCCATAAGTTCCCCCTCACTCCTGTCAGCAGAAACCAGGGAGGATATATATCTTTTTCGCTCCAATCTAGGAGCATGTTTTGCAGGCAGACGTCAAAATTTGTGGCTGGCAAAGAGTATAGTATAGTGGGAGACTAGTATAGCTATTTCAGGCTCATTAGTTAATTTTGAATTTATAATGTTCACAGTATGTGAGGTCTGCCTGCAAAACATGCTCCTAGATTGGAGGGAAACTTGCAGAACAGACTGATTTATATTTGGTAGACCGGGTGCCTCACCCAACAGATAAGATATATATATATATATATATATATATATATATATATATAATATATATATATATATATATATATATATATATACACACACACACACACACACACACACACACACACACACACACACACACATATATATACACATACAAAATCAACTTTACAGATACCTTAAAGCAATGGTCCCCAACCTTTTTGGCACCAAAGATTGATTTCGGGAAGACAATTTTTCCATGGACCGAGGTGGTGGTGGTGGTGGGAGCGCGCAAACTAGATCACTCACGTGTACAATTTTGCTTGCCCACTGCTCACTTCCAGCCCTGTGGCCCAGTTCCTAACAGGCCATGAACCATACATACATACATACATACATGCAGTAGATCTCTGTTAAAGATAATGTCTCTTCCAGTAAGGCTCATTGCTTCATGATTCCAGGAGTAGTGCCGTGCAACTTTATCAAAGTCATTTGACGCTGCCTTTTTTTAGTATTTTTTTTTTGTAGTTATCTTTTTTTCTTTTCAATGTAAGAAAAAACCCTATCATTACCTGGCAGTCTCCTGATCAAATACTAATCAGATCTGAGCCCAACCAGGATTAGCTGAGGGCTGCCACTTGCTAAGACAAATCTCTGTTATGTCCAAGAGAATGTATTAATGTTTGGATCAAAGACCACTTATGCACTCCGTTCTTCATTGAAAAGCATTCATTGGCTGTGTTCGCATGTCATGCCAAGTCATAATAAATTACTATTTACTCAACCTGGCTTTCTGGGTTTGCTCATAAACCAACTGTATGAGATCAGCTGTCAAAACGTGTTAAGCTAAAATACACTTAAGTATTGGTTCTGTTGGTGACACAAATACAGTATATCAAAGAATAATATTAATATCATTATTGGGAGAATTAAAGGAATATACATGTACATGTATATTTTTTCTTGATTTTTTTAAGGTTAAAATCTATAAAACAAAAGAAAAAGAAAAAAAGATATAAAAAGAGAAATTGGAAAGAAGAAAAAGAGAATGACAGATACAGATGAAATACAGATATTAGATGAAAAAAAGAGAAGAAAGAAGATATTTAAAGAAACAACAAGCACTGATCTCTCTTGCAGCACTTGCAAATACAGTGTTAGCTACCCAGAATCATAAACATGAGATGGGCAGTCATATAAATTGAACTAATAAATAAAGAAATACGTGGGAAGTATTTCCCAAGAAGAATTCAATTTCAGAATATTCTTAAAAAGAACCCTTGATCATATTTTACTCGTTCAATTCGACTATATTTCTTTTGCTTTTGTAGGCTGCTTGACAGTCAGAAAGCTTATAATAAATATTCAGGGTTATCACTAGTGGAAAGTATTTTTAATCCAGTGTATGATCCTGTTTGTGTATGATCCTGTTTTGCAAAGCAGAAATCCACCCAGGTAGCATCTGATGTTGGAAGGCTAATATGAAAACTGGCCACAAAGCTTTCCCACCATTAGGTGTTTCTGAGTTGTATTTTTGACCACTATGTTGCTTCCCTTCCCTGTTTACATAGTCATAAGAGGTAAGACTTAGCCAAAGTTAATTTGTCAAAGTCAGCTCCTCTCACTCAGTTGATGAGGCAGCTTTATATAAAGTCACAGATTGTTCTGCTGTGTTATAGTTCCAGAAGATCAAGCTGCTCCTAAGATTTGTATGAGAGTCCTCCGGTAATTTAAATACTGTAGTGTACTGTCCATTCACCAAAAAGAAAGAAAGAAAGAAAAAGGTCAGAATTATTTATAAAATGGAGAAGGGCAAACAGTTGGAAAAATATCTTGCTTAAAATTATTTTACTAAAATGTGACTAGTTAGAAAGCAGACTACACCTCTTTCATTTCAAGCTTTGACTTGTCAGTCGTGTGCTGGTGTTTGAAAGGAATAGAGATGGTTTCCCTCTTATTTATTTATTTAGTAAATTTTATGACAGCCTATCTCCTACACATGACTCTGGGCAGCGGACAAAAGAAATAGGAGCAAAATAAAACAGCCAATGATCAAAAACATAAATAATTTAAAACAGCATAGAAAAGCAGCCGAGAATGATCAAACTCCGCACAGACAGTACAACCAGACAACGGGCTCACCCAACTATTGTTGCATTAAAGTTTAATTGTGTTCAGCAATGTTGTGTTCAGAAACAGTGGTTTTACCAGCTTTTCTATACTTCACAATTGCCAGATTCGAAAATATCTTTGCCGAGACACATCACACTGTTAACTACCTATTTAAAACTCTTTTTTTTTTTTTTTTGCAAAGGAAGGCAACCTGGTCTTCTTCAGATTTTTTGGACTCCAACTCCCATGAGCTTCAGACATAGTAAATGCTCAGGAGTTATTTGTTATATAAAACATCAGGACATCATCAGTGCTGCCCACCCTTCAGCAAATATCATTGTAAGATTCATCAAATCTTTTTTAACCTTCCAAAGCAATTGAAGAGAATCCTTTGTAATTTCAGTGTACAGCTTAGTTAGAGCAGGTCTTAACTTTGTGCTGCTGTCAAGGGATATGCAGCAAGTACAGTTAGTACAGAAAATACAGCTACCTAATGCCAACTGTTCTCACATGTTTTAGAACAGTGGTTCTCAACCTGTGGGTCGGGACCCCATTTGGGGTCAAACGACCATTTCACGGGGGTCGCCAAACAACGCAGTCCGCCATTTTTCCCCCTTTTCCTTAGCTGTGCTACTCCCTTTTATTCTATTGGCTTTTGAAAGCCAATAGAATAGACTCTCTTGAATAGAGTCTAATTCTATTGGCTTTCAAAAGCCAATAGGAATTGTCCGGGCTGTCTCTGCCCTGCTGAGCCCGCCAAAAGTCCCATTCTGCAAACGGTTCTACACCAGTTGAGTAGTCCTCGACTTACGACTGGTTGAGTAGTCCTCGACTTACGACCGGTTGGGGGGTCGCGGCATTAAAAAGGTTGAGAACCACTGTTTTAGAAAGATAAGGAAAGACAACAAAAATATATGATGGCGGTTCCTATGAAACTGCATCAAATGTTCAGAATTATAGTTAAATCTTAACTGGGTCTCAATCAGAGATCTTTCATAGAAAAAAATAAATGTTTTTTTCCTCTTTCTTTCTAGGTGATACAATGGAATCACTGGATAAAACAATCAATAGCTACCTGGATGTTTGGCTTGGGCCAAGAGGTATGTAGCTTGCTTTCAAAGGTTTGAACTGTTAAGATCCAGACAGCACCTAGCCTCCGTCTGCTTCGGCTGCGACAGCTTCAGGCATGATTAGCTGGAGGGCTGTTTTCCTCTAGAGCAGTGTTTCCCAAACTTGACAATTTTAAGGCATGAGGACTTCAACTCCCAGAATTCCACAGCCAGCGTTGCTGGCTGTGGAATTTTGGGAGTTGAAGTCCACATGCCTTAAAATTGTCAAGTTTGGGAAACACTGCTCTAGAGCAGGCATGTCAAACTTGCGATGTCACATGACGTATTGTGACTTTTTCCCCATTGCCGGCAATGAGGTGGGCACGGTTTTGGCGTGACGCATTTGGCCCACGGGCCGGCAGTTTGACATGCCTGCTCTAAAGGTTTAGCCTTTCTCAGCTCTATAATCTTAAGAAAATAAACTTGATAGCTCCACCCATTTCTAAACCATAAGAAAATAAACTCCCCCTACAGGTAGTCCTCGACTTACAACCACAAGTGAGCCCAAAATATCTGTCGCTAAGTGAGACAGTTATTTTGGCCCCATTTTACAGCCTTTCTTGCCTTGTTATTAAGTGAACCATTGCAGTTTTTAAGTTAGTAACATGGTTGCAGTGTGAATCTGGCTTCCCAATTAACTTTGTTTGTCAGAAAGATGATCACATGATCCCAGGACACTGCAACCATCCTAAATATAAGCCAATTGACCAGCATCCAGATTTTGATCATGCAGATGCTACAATGGTTGCAAATGTGGAAAAATGGTCATAAGTCATTTTTTTTCAGTTCTGTTGTATCTTGGAAAGATCATGAATGGTTGTATGTCGAGGGCTATCGTACATCTTTCTCCGTTCTGGCATCTCTCAGTCAGACTGTAAACTCTTTCCTGTTGTAACCATCGGCGCAAGTAGATGGGACATTTAATAACAGAAAGCTGGTTTGGTGTAGGGGTTAAGATGCTAGCCTAGAAACTAGGAGACTGTGAGTTTAGTCCCACCTTAAGCATGAAAGCCATCTGAATGACTCTGAGCCAATCACCAGGAGATGGTGAATTCTAGTCCTGCCTTAGGCAGGAAAGCTTTCTGAGTGACTTTGGGCCAATCACTAGGATACAGTAAGTTCTAGTCCCGCCTTAGGCATAAAAGTTGTCTGAGTGACTCTTGGCCAGACCCTCTCTCTCAGGTCACCTGCCTCACACAGTTGGTATTGTAGGGAAAATAGGAGAAAGAAGTATTAGGCATGTTCCCCAGCTTTAGTTATTTATAAAAAATAATAAAGTTGAGATTAAAAATAATAGGGAAGAGAGGACAGCAAGGCATTTCTTCCTACACTGATTCAGTCTCTTGACTTTTACAAGTAGGGTAAAATAAGTACTTGTTGTTGCCTCTTAAATATACTTCATAGAATTCCTCAGATGTTTATTAGTCTTCATCTGTATCCAAAGCCAGCTCAAAGTTGGCTTAGCATAATTGGCACAACATTTATTCCAGGCATTTAGACTACTTATAAGATTAAAATTTAGTAGTGCCACATTCCACATTCCACACTGACGTTTGAGGTATTTGCATGGGAAGCAGCAGTCACTTAGATGGCTTTTATGCCGAAGGCGAAGCTAGAACTCACCATTTCCTGGTTTTTAGTCTGGCGACTTAACCACTAGATCAAACCGTCTCTCATTTGCTTAATTGTGCCATCCAATGAATGGGAATTAAGATGAAGCCCCAGTATTGTTAAATATGAATGGATGAAAGTTTTAAATTCTAACTCCTGGAACACCATTTTGAATGGAGGAGCTGAAACAGTTCTCCCCAAGAGAATTCAAAGCTGTTTGGAAAAAAATAATCTTTAATACCCATTATTTTGCTGCACTGCAGGCTCTTTTCATCAGTAAAACTGCAAGAACAGCAAATTAAACAGCAAGTCGGGCACTCTGTCTCATTTAAAGCCCCTCTTATTAAAAAACATGATCCCATAATAGGATGTGGGAGATAAATTTTAACTGAAAATGGAGAATTAAAAAAATAACAGGAGCTGCAGGTACTTTGAATCAGGATTCTAGAAACAAATATGAAAAGTGGCACATCAAGTGCTCCTTCGGGGAACAGCATTTTGTAAAGTAAAGAGAACATAATTAGTTGTACTTCCCTTAGCAACAGCACAGTTAAATTGGACCTCATATGAGAGGGAGAGTGCTGTTGCATAAATAAGAACAAAAGACTTCTAGTGTATTTACCAGCTATTATTCCTTCAGTTTCTATGACTGAAGCTTTCCTAAAGAGATGGGAGAGGGAGGTGTCGGAATCTGGAATGGGCAGCTATTTGCTAGGATTAAATCCCAGCTGCTGCAAAGTACGAACAATAGTAATAAAACTTGTTTTCTATTTCAGATCCCAGAGTAAAAGGATGGCTTCTCTTGACGAACTACAGACCTACCTTTATCTTCTCTGTCTTATATTTATTAATTATATGGCTAGGGCCAAAGTATATGCGGAACCGACAGCCGTTTTCATGCAGGAGAATTCTAGTGGTCTACAATATTGGACTTACTCTTCTGTCCTTCTATATGTTTTATGAGGTAAGAAAGAAAAAAAAAATATCCCTCTGTTTGGGAGCTCAGGCTTTGCAGAATGAGGATGATTTTTATTTAAGCCTGCAAGATCGGACAATTTATTGCTCTAGCATTTCTGTTTTGTCTTCTACAGGTAGTCCTCAACTTACCACAGTTCATTTAGTGAATATTTGAAATTACAATGGCGCTGAAAAAAGTGACTTATGACCGTTGCAACATCCCCGTGGTCATCTGATCAAAATTTGGATGCTTGGCAACTGAGTCATATTTATGATGGTTGCAGAGTCCCGTGGTCATGTGATCACCTTTTGTCACTTTCTGACAAAGTCAGTGGGATATCAGAGTTACTCAACAACTGTGTTACTAACTTAACAACTGAAGTGATTCACTTAACAACAAGAAGGTCGTAAAATGGGGCAAAATTCTCTGAACAACTTTCTCACTTAGCAACAGAAATTTTGGGCTCAATTGTGGTCATAAGTTGAGGACTATTTGTACTTCCCTAAAGATCATTTCCAATACTATATGCATAGCTCATTCCGTTAAGGACATATATCCTTAACCTACAACAAAAAGTGAGCTGGTTATTGTCTGAAAAAAAAAAAATAGGAAATTAGATCTAACCTTCTGCACGCCTCTAGCAACAAGGGGAAAAAAAGAGAACAGGAAGAAAGTTTGGACACACCTATTTTAATTAATTGCAAAATGCAACTGTAAGTTGCTTCAGTGAAAGAACTCTCATGGATTAGATTGGCATATCTTCTTAAATGCAGAGTTTTTTGAAAGAGTTCACATATTCAGTAATCAAGAGCAAGGTATGTCTATCACGTGATAAGAGAGCTAGCCATCAAAAAGTAATAAGACAGCACAAAAGTATTGCTAGAAAATGCATACCTTTTAAAATTTCTACTCTTTAAAATTAATATGAATATGTTAAATGTTCTGTTTAGAAAACTTACAGAAAATGGATTGATTACACGACATCAGGTTGCTGTTGACTCTTAGCAACCACATACAGATAGATAGTCCTTGACTGACCATTGACAATTCAAAGTTACAATTATACTGAAAAAATTGACATGATGATGATGATGATGATGATAATAATAATAATAATAATAATAATAATAATAATAATAATAATAATAATAATAATATTTGGAAGGGACCTTGGAGGTCATCAAGTCCAACCCCCTGCTCAGACAGGTAACCTGTACCATTTCGGACAAATGACTGTCCAGTTTCTTCTTAAAAACTTCCAGTGTTGGAGCATTCACCGCTTCTGGAGGCAGGTTGTTTCACTGGTTAATTGTTTTAACTGTCAGGAAGTTTCTCCTTAGCTCTAGGTTGCTTCTCTCCTTGATTACTTTTCATCCGTTGCTTCTTGTCCTGCCTTCAGGTGCTTTGGAGAATAGCTTGAGTCCCTCTTCTTTGTGGCAGCCCCTGAGATATTGTAACCCTCTTTGAAGTTACAACTGCTGCACCACTCCTGAGATCCTTGTGATTGCAATTTGGGCATTTGGTCACCACCTTGCATTTACAACAGTTGCAGTGTTCTGCATCACATGATCATAGCATGCTGGCTGTGGAATTCTGGGAGCTGAAGTCCCCACATTTTAAAGTTGCCAAGGTTGAGAAACATGTTCTAATGAAGCCAAGGTTGTCCCCAATCTGAACTCTGGAAGGAGGCTGTTCCATAGGACAGGGAATCAAAAAATACCATCCCCACGCCTCCACCAGTCTGTCTTCAAATGGAGTGTGAACCTGTCAGACATTACTTATATGTTTTGGACCATATGAGTATAAGCTCCATTCACAAACTATACCCCACATATAAATATGAGATCCACCTGCTCACAAGAAAGATAAAACCCCTTTCTCCGGCACTACATGCAGAGTGCACAAGCTTTCACCTGTGCATTTTTTTTTAAATTTCTAGAATTCAGATGGCTTCTTCAAATTAAACAGATACTATACATAAATTGCATGTTTGCCATACACTTGCAATATTTCAGGAAACTATATTTAATTTTGGCAGAACACTATCTCAGCATATCACCTTGTTTGTGTTATTTATTTTCTGTATATGATGAGGAACAAGGAAATGCAAAACAGTTCTATTTCAGGAGGAAGTTGCTAGTTTAAGTGTTATATGAGGTCAAGGAGGAAAGGTCAAACGAATTAAGATTGTCACATGTTACAAGTGATAATAGAAATTCACTGCATATAAAGTAGAGCTTTCTTTATGCTGACCATACAGATAACTCTCTTCTGAATGAATTATATTTAGCTCCTTAGTATGCCTCTGAAGTGCACTTTAAAACATGTCTGGCCCAGCTACATACATTTTTATGTTTCTAAGGCTACAAGATTTATTTGTCCTTCTTTATGCTGAAGTCCTAGGGCTTTGTTTATCCCCACAATATGCTTTTTATTTAGATACTTCAGTCTTGGAAGGTTCGTTTGTTCATCCTCTTTATTTGTATGTAGACCCCATGGACTCACCACTTTAAGAAGGCATGGCCCTGAAATGTTATTTATGAATATTTAAAGAAAATTATGTAGGGGATTTAAGCAGATAACAGGAAGGGGTCTCTTGCAGGATGGGTACACTTAGCAGCTGCTTGTGAAGTCCAGATTCAAAAATTTGCGTGGGTCTGGATATAAACAAATCAGAACTTGCATGCTATTCTGAGCATAGCTGGTATTTTTTACAGAGCAAACTTCAATATCCTCTGGTTATCCAAGAGTTTGTGGCATGCTCTAGTTTGTATTGGAATTCTAGGCCATTTTTCCTCCAACAAATAGGACGGAAAGTCCTTGATGTAGTCTCTACACCTGTTTATTTTGCTCTTAAATAATATCGAAATAGGAAGTCTATGTAAGATACTTTGGTTTTTCTCATATCTTTGGGGAAAGATAGCCCAAACCATAGGATAAATAAATTCTATAGCAGGGGTGTCAAACTGTCAGCCCATGGGTTAGTTGCATCATGCGGAGGCCACCCCCACTCTGGCTCCAGCAGTGCAAAAAAAAAGTCGCGATATATCGCAACACATCACGTGACATGGCGAGTTTGACACCCTATAGAAAATAAAGTGACTGGTTTCTACTAAGGCGAGATTTTATCTGAGAAACGGGATCGACACAAATAACAGTGTTTTTCTTGTTATCTGCAGTTTCAAAAGCTGTTTCTCAGTGCTGCTCCAAGAGTTGGGGAAAATAGAAGAGCTTAAAATGTCATCCTTCCTAAGGAAAGCTTTGCTTCTACTGTATATAGAAAAAAAGAACCTAGTAGGATTTTTCCATGCGATAATTGCTTTGTAAGAAAAAAAAAATCTCACAATCGGCAACAAAAAAGGGCCTATCAGAGAAATGTAACATTAAAATTCCATACAATTATGCAATTTATTTATTTAGGGGAGACAGTATTTCTTTTTCCACTTGGACATATTTGCTGTATCAGAAATAATGTTGAAGTGAGATAACGCCATTGGTCTTATGTGCTCTAGATCAAATACTTTGGCACTGAAATTGTTGCTGATTATTTCCCTTTTAACATCTTTATGAGTGATATCTTTTAACTTGTTTCTTAAAGGCAAGAATGATGTCAGAATATGTGTATGTTTGCTTATAAAATACAGTATATCTATATGCATGTCTGTCTGTCTACATAGCTACAGTATAACTATATAAATATCCCACTGTTCTTCCAGAGACCTATGGTAATCATTTAAGCAGTAGTCCTCAACTTACAACCACAATTGAGAGCCAGTTTGGTTTAGTAGTTAAAAGTCTAGGCTAAAAATCAAAAGTTCTAGTCCCACCTTAGCCATGAAAGCCATCTGGGTGATTTTGGGACAGTTACTGTCTCTCAGCCAAACCCATCTCCAAGGGTTGTTGCTGTGGAGAAAATAGGAGGAAGAAGGCGTATTAGATATGTTCGCTACCTTGACTTATTTACAAAAAAATAATAAAGGTGGGACAAAAAATGTAAAATAAAATTAAATAATTGATCACAGATTTGCAGTCCTACGTCGACTGTACCCATGTGACCAGAAATAAGCTTTTTCTGGGATGTTTGTTAACCAAAGCCTGCAGTCATTAAGAGAACCCTTTCATTTGACGGGTGTTTTTTGCCCATGTGAATGGGTAGTTTTTGAAAACTAGCAAAAAAAACCATTGCAAATTGCAGTCATATCAACGTAGAATGCAACAAGTCATAAAGGCCACCCATGCAAGATACAGTCATGGCTGCAAGAGTACACTGTGACCATTTATGTTGGCTGTTAGGGTGCTTTCGGGTCGTAACACACCCTTTCTGTAGCCATTGTAATTTTGAATGTTTGTAAAATGACCAGTCGTAAAACAAGGACTACTTATAGTCTTAAGACTTAATGAGGTCAGGTGATTCTAGGAGCATGATAGCTGTTTGGGATTTGAGCGTGGGGCTTCCCTGTCGTAGTCATGCAGTCTGACTTAAGTCCATAAGACAGGCTCCATGCAGCTCAAATCAAGTGGAACCGGCATGTGGCACCAGGTTTCACAAACTGTCAGCTATACCAGGGGTCCCCAACCCCCGGGCCGTTGTCTACTACCAGGCTGTGAGCTGTTCAGAACCGGTGTGCCCAAAAGAGCGGGCAAGTGCACATATCCACCTCCCTCCCTTGCAAATCAGCCAGGAAACCTAAAACAGAAGGTTAATGGGAGGCATAACAGAAGAATAGATTCTAATTCTGTTCAGAGATAAGAGAAACCGTATCACATTGACATACCAAATTGCTATGTTTGAAAAGGTGAGAATTAATTGTGGTGTGTTCCTATTTCTTCTTTGCTTTTGGTAAACCAGAATGTTGTAATCTTACACATTTTGAAAACCATCAGAAACTGTTTGACCACAGGCATCTGAAGCATAAAAAGACTTATGTATAAGAAATGGAATATTTTAATATTAAATGAGTTGAATATCCTAAAGCCTATTTAATTCTTAACCTTTGAGTGGGGATCGTCTTTGACCCCTTCCTCCGTGTAATATCAGAAGGTTTTTCTGAGCACCAGTTCAGACTTTGTCAGGATTATTTGCCCTTCCTTCAGCTGCTCTTCAGAGGGAAAAAGAAGGAGAAGGTGTGGCAGAAAAATAAAGGGTGAATCTCCCTGCTTTGCTGGTAGTCCTCAACTTACAACCACCACTGAGTCCCAAAATTTATGTTGATAAGCAAGACATTAGTTGTGAATTTTGCCCGATTTTATGACCTTTCTTGCCACAGTTGTTAAGTGAATCACTCAGTTGTTTAGTTAGTAACATGGTTGTTAAGTGAATCCGGCTACCCCATCGGAAGGTCACAAAAGGTTATCACAGGACCCCATCATAAATATGAACCAATTGCCAAGCGTCTGTATTTTGATCATAAGTCACTTTTTTCATTATAACTTACAACTTCAGTCACCAAAAGAACTGTTGTAAGTCGAGCAGTACCTGCATGGGGTAGGTCTACCCCCTCGTCCTTCTTTTTCTGGGTTGTCTTGGATATGATTTGGATTCTTTCAAGATTTGGTGGTATCACTTTGTAAGCGCCTGCTGTCTACTGACCAAATGTTTGTTTTGCACTAGCTGGTGACGGGCGTATGGGAAGGAGGATACAATTTCTTCTGCCAGGATACGCACAGTGGAGGTGAAGCTGATATGAAGGTAATGTCCCAAGCTGCCTCTGCTGCTTTATTTTATCTCTTGAAGAAGACAGTTCCTACAGATGTGAGCGTGCTTGCCTGGGAAGGGTGCTCTTCTAGCTCTGCCCTCCCAACTTCATGTTTTCCAAATGTGCTGAGAATCCACTCCTTCAATTCCAGCTAGCATGGCTGAAGTCTGCTTTATCTGAATCATCTGTCGGAAAAGGCGACTAAGCCTTTAATTTCAATTGCCTGCTAACGCCTTGCAAAAGGAAGCGACGCTTGTGCAAATCTCTCTAAATAAAGACCTGTCATAAGAGTTGGAAGACAAACATTGGCAGAAGGTGTATCTGGATTTCTTTTTTCATTGTTCGAGCTAGCAAGGGCTTACCAGTAATGTAACCCATAATAGGCCTTGAACAATAACTTGATCTCTCTTCCTTCAGCCAGGATGGTAGATGGGTGTGGCTCTTGCATGGGAAAGATTTACTAATATATCATGGCTTATTAATGTAGGAGAAGTAGGTAAAGTAGTCTGCAATAAAACTCACTTGGTTTGCTTTTATAAATTAACAGGGGAAAAAAAAAGTCAGAACTGGCTGCTTAAAGAGCAATATGACCTGGCTGGTACTACACTCTAAATCTACTGATTAATTTATTACTTTTTTTATTCAAAAATATACTGTATAAGTTTTTTAAAGAGTAATTTTACCTTTGAAGTGAATTTGTAATAGTAGTAGTAATAGTAGTAAATAGTAATGTTTATTATTAGTAAATGGCTTTAAGTACCCCAGTTTCCTAACAACCATACGAGTCCAGTTTGGATGGAAGGGCTTGATAGGTTATTTAGTATTTTAAGGCTGGGTGAGGAATGGAACCTGGGCCTTCCTGATAACAACACAAATAAATGTTTCACCTGCAAAAGTGTTTAGAGCAAAAACACCACCATTGGAACCATTTCTTTTGTCTTTCCTACAAGAAATAGGATATGGAATGTTTCTGATTACCCAGAAAGATTTTTGTTATAAGCAAAACTCTCTTAAACAGCAACTCTAAGTAAGTCTGCAGTTGAAAATAATAATCCTTTTTTAAAATGTAAAAATCCCTTCTTAAAATTTGCCTTTGCTCACAATAGACTGCCTGAACATAATACCATCCCTGAAAACCTGCAGGAGTGCATTAGAAATTCAAGTGTTACTCCTTCATTTTCAAGCTCTTGGGTTTCATAGTGCACTGCTGATAAAACACAGATATTTGCATGGAACGCTTCAAATGGAACAATACTTGGAACTAGTGGCAGGGCGTTAAATAGCAAAAAAATCTAATGAGTGAATTAATAACAGTTTGGCTGCATTGCAGAAATGGGGAATATATCCTAATTAATACCTCTGAAGTGTTGTCGACATGATTCGCTTTAGGAAAGATGCTTTTAACGCCCATCTTGCTCTCCTTTGGAATATGCTCTTCTGATTTCCACTTCTGATTTGTCTGTTTTGTAGATTAGTTGCTTGAAAGAAAATAGTCTTTCATATTTTGTAAGGTTTTTTTTTTTTTAAGGATGAAAAGATAGGTCAGAAAGTTTGAGCAACCCTCACTGAGTTTTTCTTGAGGACTGATGAACTTCCATTGGGAGCTCATGTATTCCATCCAGTCTTCCCCCCTGAATCCATTCCTTTCTAAAGTTCAAACTTGTTTTCTTCTTCTCCATTTAGTCTTGAATTTTTCTTAAATTGTAATTTGAAGCTGCTGTCTTGTTTGCAATTGCTATCATTAGTGTTTATCATTTTTTTCTACATGTCTCCTTGGCAGGGCTCTATTCTAAAAGTCAGACTAAAAATAATTGTAATAAGATACATTTTTAGACTTTCAATTTCAATAGCAATTCCAGGAATCAATAGACCAACCTCATCTATTTGAAACGTTTAGCCTTTATTTTGTGAGTTTTTAAAGTCTCCTTTAATCTGATATGGCATTTAGAAGAATCATTGATACGAGCCTAATGGTTCTTTGGAGGCTGTAGATAATCACGGAGTACTGCTATTTTTTTTAACCTCATTTTTAAAATGAGCACCTCAAAACAGGCTAAAATGGAACTTGGATATAAGCCATTATCTGCAATATTCAAATATGCACTTTCCCAGTTGTAATCTAATCAGCATCATGTGATCATTTCAGCAGACATTGTTTTGAAATTTCAGTACCATTATCCTTTTTTTAAAATGTGCAAAAACTCTATTTAGGAATTTTTAGATTGAGTCGCAGTCTGAATCCTGGTTTGCCAAATTTTTGCTTAGAGCCAGCACAATTTAGAGTCCTATAATCTGCTTAGAGCCAGAACAATTTAGAGTCCTATAATCTGTCCTCCCCATTTCTATTAAATACCTGGTGTCAGCAAAGGAGCCAGGCCTGTCAACCTCTCTTTTTCGTGTCGCACTAACAAAGAAGTATCAGTTCAGACCTTCTTCCCAAATTAAATTATTCACTACGAATTATCTGACTCATATAATTACATTTGAATTGAGCATCTTTATCCTGCCTTTTGTCCAGAGTATTGTATCATATGGGGGGGGGGGAGTATGTCAAATGATATTGAGAGTTGTAGTGTTCAAAAGGCAGTTTTGTGACTGAATAGGTTTTGGAACCCTCAGGTAACCAGCCACAATAATCTATCAGTGTGGCTCTAGGAGAATTGCATGCAAAAGGAATAAAAAGCTTTTCAAGACTCTGTAGTCGTGTACAGTTGACCTCTTAATCTGAGACTCTCCAATTGTTCGAGACTCAGTCCCATCCATTTCTTTCTTCTCATAGTCAGGTGTTGAAATGCTTCTCTTAAGTGGGGAAAATGAAATTGTGCAATCTTGAGAGCAGGGTGGTCATGGAATTTGTTTTTTAAAAAATTCTAAAACATTAAAATGAAGAAAGCTAGTGGTTAATTCTCTACTTTAGGTTATACCAGGTGCCTCTTATGTAGCAATAGATTTAATAACCCACAGAATATATGTATCTTAATTTTGTAAACATTAGAAAGAAATGAGCAAGCAATACACATCACAACCTACTGAAAGCTAGTAACAGTAATAAAAGGGATATCTCTTAAAATGCTAAAATTGCAAAATTCCCCAACAATTGAGCCTAAAACATTCATAATCCTGGCTAATGCCAGGGAAAAGAAATTAGTCTTGAGGCTTTCCCTAAAAGCTTGTACTGCATTCTTTATTTTGGGGTTTCAGCCAAAAAGACCTCTTTCCATCAGCTACCCATCATATTGTTGGAAGGGGGAGGGGGTCAGTCTGCTTGCCTAATTCTTGCTTTTGCAAATTCTTCAGTCTAATTATTCTTTGTCCTGTAACTTAGTTTTAATTGAGTCAGATATCAACATGGGCTACCAAAACAGGCTCGCTTGCTATATCATAATAAGCTTGCCCTATAGCCGTGGTGGCAAACCTATGGCACACGTGCCACAGTTGGCACGCAGAGCCCTCTCTGTGGGCACACGCGTCGTCGCCCCAGTCCTAGCCTTCAGCTGGGTTTTATAAAACCTTTTCGCTTTAGGCCTCTGCTGCCATGTGCAAAAAAAAAAAAGTTCAATTAATCCATCAATTTTAACTTCTCGCGGGATCTTGCGAAGTTGGAATTGATTGATTGAACTTTTTAGTCCCACCAAGTCTGCCATTACCATCGCAGCCATGCCCACCCAATGGGCCACACCCATCCAATGGGCCACGCCCACCCAGCACCCGATGATGCATAAGTGGGTTGTGGGTTGCAGTTTGGGCACTCAGTCTCTAAAAGCTTTGCCATCACTGCCCTATAGCTTGCTCAAAACCAGTTCTCTCCCTTCATAATCAGCCTTCCCCTGGTTCTCAGTCTCTCCAACCTGACAAAAGCTTAGGGAATACAATAGCCTTAACTCATGTTTGCTCAGATTGTTCAGGGATCTCTGTAGCAATGTGAGGATTAAACATTTCCCTTGGGAGTGTTGATGCACCTGAGCTACAGTTTCATAAGCATAACATTATAGTGTCTTCTACACTCACAGCTTCAGTTTTATACCTATAATCAAGTAGCTGCTTCAGACAGGCCCAAAGGGTTTGGACTGCACGGTAGAGCCACCTCTCTTTCTTTTGAGCAGGAAAGATTTAACACCTGGCTGTGAAATGGTCCTGTGTTTGCAAGCCCAGGACACTCCTGAATGAAGCCGTGGTCTAGCACAGGGTTTCAACCTTGACAGCCAGCGAATTCTGGGAGTTGAAGTCCACCGATCTTCAAGCTGTCAAGGTTGAGAAACGCTGCTCTAGCAGACAGTGGATGAGAAGGAGCACTTGATCCACTAGAGCAGAGGTCCCCAATCTTTTGGTCACCAGGGACCAGTTACATGGAGAGAGGTTTTTCCATGGACCAGAGGGGGCATGGTTTTGTGTGCTGCCTACATCCCGCGGATGGGGCTTTGCTTGCTGGTGCAGCCTGGTTGCTGGCATGCCGCGGCCCGGTACTGGTCCACGGACCGGGGGTTGGGGACCCCTGCACTAGGATCTTGCCCAGCTAGCACTTGCCTTTGAGGCAGAGAATATGCCCCGGAGTTTTATTTTACATGTCTTTGTGGATCAAAACATCTGAACTATTTCTCCTCTTACCAGATTATACGGGTCCTCTGGTGGTATTACTTCTCAAAGCTCATTGAATTTATGGATACTTTCTTCTTTATATTACGAAAAAATAACCACCAAATCACCATTCTTCATGTGTACCACCATACGACTATGTTGAATATTTGGTGGTTTGTTATGAACTGGGTGCCTTGTGGCCACTGTAAGTATTCTTGGGACTCTGGATGGGAGGTGATCTGTGTGTCTATGATATTGTATATACAGTGAAATCTAGAAGACTTTCCTTTTTAAAAAAAGATTACATGTGTACAGATAGTCCTTGACTTATGACCAGAATTGAGCCCGAAATTTCCGGTGTTAAACTAGACAGCTATTGAGTTTTGCCCCATGTTACGACCTTTCTTGCTGGAGTTCAGTGAATCACTGCAACTGTTAAATTAGTAACACGGTTGTTAAGTGGATCTGGCTTCCCCACTGACTTTGCTTGTCAAGAGGTCGGAAAATGTGATCATATGACTCCGGGACACTGCAACTGTCATAAATACATACCAGTTGCCCGGCACCCAAGTTTTGATCACGTGACCATGGAGATGCTACAACAGTCATAAGTGTGTAAAATAGTCATAAGTCACTTTTTTCAGTGCTGCTGTAACTTCAAACGGTCACTAAATGAAAGTTCATAAGTTGAGGACTATCTATATATGCCAACGATGCTTTTTCATGAGGCAACTGGACTTTCTTGTTTTTCTTTGAAGACGTTTCGCTTCTCATCCAAGAAGCTTCTTCAGCTCTGATTGGACGGTGGGGAAAATGAGAAGCTGAAGAACCTTCTTGGATGAGAAGTGAAATGTCTTCAAAGAAAAACAAGAAAGTCCAGCTGCCTCATGAAAAAGCATCTTTGGGATAACTATGATCTGGGTGGCTGAGAATCTCCATAGACATTTACCTATATATGGATTCTGTTAATTCACTAGATTGAAAGGGTTTTGTTTCTAATTGTTTATAAGGCTTATAATGATTCTCGTCGAAGCTGTGGTTAATTTGGTAAAACTTTTTTTATTCTCAGTCACCAGAGATGAGGCTGATTGATTAACTCCTTCACAGTTACCTTTTGTCCTTAATTGCTACTTTTTTGTCTTATTTTGTTTAGCTTTATATGTTGCCAGATGTTTGTCTCCTGCCAATTTGCACTGTGCTAGATGTTCTGAATTACCAATTGGAAATCGGTATCAAACTGTCCAAAACAATGCCGGGCAGAAACTATCAAAAAGCTTTTCCCTGCGGTAGCAGCTCTACATTAATGTCACACTTAACAGACATGCTATCAGTTATATGTTCATGCAGTGTGGAGGTTTCCATACTGTTAACATCAGATGCCCATAGCGCTTGCAGGAAATAACTTCATCTGTTTGCACCAATGAGAGAGATGAGGAAACGGTCACTGTGCATTCAAAGTTCATTCATCTTTGGTAGTAAATGCTTAGATGCAAAGTATGGTGTAAATAGATGCCTCTTCTATCTCCGTGGTTATGTAGATTGACTACTGATTGTAATAAATGTTGATGTGTATGGCTGAACTATGGCCTATAAACAAAGTCAGTGCAATTTGTAGCATTCCCTAGAAACCACACTCTTAAGTAGCTTTGGGAGAAATCTCTTATAATTAACAAGGTTACAACCGGTTCAAATTCAGAGATGACATTAAACCACCTTTCCTTAGTGTTTCCAGGTTTTAATTTTATTCTAATCTTGGATTAAGTTTTAAATGTTTGTAAAATATTAATTTTATAACTTATTTAGAGCGATAATTTTTTTCACTACATTTTCCCCTCTCTCCTTACAACCCATAGCGTATTTTGGTGCCACTCTTAACAGTTTTATTCATGTCCTCATGTATTCCTACTATGGACTATCTGTTATCCCATCTATGCGTCCATATCTCTGGTGGAAGAAATACATCACTCAGGGACAGCTGGTGAGTTGTAGTGAACTGTGGTTGCTTTTTTCAACAAATATAGGAGCAAGTTCTTTTTGGAAAGAACCAAACATTTATAAGTCTGTATGAGATCTTAACCCATATGGCCACGGGTCTTGTACGCTAACTAAAATTCCTGGTTTCTGATTGTAGTTCAAGCTGTTTGCCTTAACCCCAATCTTAGCTGTGGACTGTATTTGCACATTGTAATAAATGTTAACATATTCAAATTCATCATATAACCTGATAGCAGAGCTATGGGGACTCTTGTCCAAGAGAGGGAAAGTTCAGTAGACTGCCCTATTCTTTAATTTTCACAGCAATTTTTAGCAGGTGCAGAAGCTCCAGTAGATGTCCCACCCTTTAGTACAACTGAAGAGTTCCATTTGACATACAGGTAGTCCTCAACGTACGACCGCAATCAAGCCCAAACTTCTGCTGCTAAGTGAGACAGTTGTTAAGTGAGTTTGGCCCCATTTTACAACCTTTCTTGCCGCAGTTGTTAAGTTAGTAACACAATTGTAAAGTGAATCTGCCTTCCCCGTTGACTTTGCTTGTCGGAAGGTCGTGAAAGGTCATCACACGATCCTGCAACACTGCAACCATCATAAATTCATGTCAGTTGCCAAGGGTCTGGATTTTGATCACGTGACCATGGGGATCTGCAACGGTCATAAGTGTGAAAATGGTCATAAGTCCCTTTTTTCGGTGCCATTATAACTTCGAACGGTCACTAAACGAATGGCTGTAAGTTGAGGACTACCCGTACTGCAATAAGCACAGAGATCTTGATGAGGGCACTGTCAAGTGGGCCACTTTCAACATGTTCACTGTTTCTGGCCTGTTGGAGGAACTGTGACCAGCCAACTTGTTGGTCAAACATTGCCATGCTAATCTCACTCTTGAAGGCAGTTGCTCAGCTTCTTTCCAGTTTCTGTAGCAATTTTGAAACGATACCTTGAGACTCATGACAAGCTATCTTTAAGCACTGCTCATTTGCACAAAAGTCACTTTTATCTTTTTGGTAACCTCCCTTCATGTTTTATATACTACTTCTTGAGTTTAATTGAATGTCAGAAGTATCAACCTCCCAGTTAGCCTGAAGTTTTTGAAATGGAGCACCACCCCATTTTCCTTACGGAATGGCTGGAAGTTGTGATGCAGATTTTAATAAGAGCATACAGTAGGATTATGATCGATTGTGATTGATTCCTGCTCTGCTTGGCTACTACAGCATTTGCTGTTTCCTTAAATAACCATTTTCTCCTCTTACCCTCTAGGTACAATTTGTTCTGACAATCATCCAGACAACCTGTGGGGCCATTTGGCCTTGCTCCTTCCCTATGGGATGGTTATACTTCCAAATTGGTTATATGATCTCCTTGATTATCCTTTTCACAAATTTCTATGTCCAGGTAAGTTAAGTGGGGTATTTTCCAGAAGAAGAGGAGTGGGATGGCCATCACCAGTATTAAAAAAAATAGCTAGAAGGGCTCGTGCATCAGAACATGCTTCTTAAATTTGTGGACAGTTGGATTTTAATATGAGAGAATCTTTCATTCTATGCATTTATGGATCCTTAAGCCAATTATGCCTTCTCCCAGTTTCAGGATTGCTGAGTCATCCCAGGAAAAGACAGTTGCTTTAAGAATTTATAGGCAGGGCTACTTTTGTGACCCCAGAGGCTCAAAGCACTTTTTGGCCTTCAAATCTGAAACATTGCACAGTTCTAGTAGGCATTTGAAAAGATACTAAAGAACAGAGTTCCCCAACCTTCTGGGCTTTGTGGATTGGTGGGGGGAAGGGAGAAGGGATGGTTTTGCACAAGCAGTGGGCAAGCACACACGCGTGCAGCTCCATTTGCGTGAGTGATGGGCACATGCACTCGCCCACATGCATGCGCTTGCCTGCCCCTTCCATGGCCCAATTTCAAATGGTTCACGGCCCAGAGGTTGGGGACCCCTGCTATAGAATACACTAAATATTGTTCTAAAAGATTATACAGTGATCTAATTAAATGGATCTTTTTAAGTAAGTGTGACATGGTTTGTATCTTTTTTTCCCCCTCCAGCTGTTAGTTTGGTGGGGATCTTGTTTCAGTTCAGCCTGGTTCTATGTCCCAAATTTAGGACAATGATAACTTCTTGTATTTAGTAAGGAGCACCTTTGGCTCTCCCTGAAATTAGGAGAAATGAATGAGCATGAGCATCTCCCTACACATAGGCTGTATGAAGAGAAAGTTCTGTTCACATTTTCCAATAAAGTAGAGTTTATTTTTCATTGCTGTGCGGGAGACTGTAGTTTGAGCAAACTTTAATTCTGATCACAAATCAGACTCTGCCCCTTAAGGCAGTCTGAGTAGAAGAAGGTACTTCACATAATATAAAAAGCACCCTGATTTTTTTTCCCCTTCTCTTTGGTCCTGCGACAAAAGCCATTACTGACCTGTCCCTCTGTGTGTTTGTGGTTTTTGTTTTAAAGACTTACAACAAAAAAGCAGCCTCCAGAAGGAAAGAATATCAGAATGGATCTGCAGCTGCTATGAACGGGCACACAAATAGCTTTTCTTCTTTTGGGAACAATGTGAAGCAAATAAAACAAAGAAAGGATTGAAGACCAAACTGAAAAACTATTCTGATATCCCAGGCAACAACAACAACAAAATCTGATTGTAAGCACAATGTGTGTTGTGCACTGATAACTCTTGACAGCTACTGTAACTATTCCTGCCTAGAATAGTGTCGATTTTTGTAGGATTTAACCAGTGCAAAACATCCTAGAAACTGTCCATAAGCTAAAGTTGATGATGTTGATAATCCTGGAGGATCATAGACTGAAGCATAAAATGTGGAAGGTGGTATTATTGTAGTATGACAGACACTGCTGTTGCCTTACTAGTCAATATAATAGGTGCTGAATTAGGATTCACGATTCCAAAACTGTAATTCAGGCTCATATTTTTAATTGTAGATAGTGCATGTTACTGTAATTTGTATGACAAAATTCAGTTCTTTTTTTTCTTTTCAGTAGTTTAAAACACACATGCCTTAAATCAAAATAAAAGCAGGGCCTAAAATCTAATTACCAGTTTGAAAATGTATGGAACTGTTTCATTCTAAGGGAGCAGCTTCTCAAGCGGCATTTTATGGCCCTGGTACAGATACCAAACGGAGAAGCACAGGGTCATTGATGAAAAGTTCACATACATAGACATGTGGGTCTCCCCACATGTTCAAGCGTACAGCCTCATTTCCTGTGGAGGGATTATATTTCCATACCGATGATAACGATCTTCTTAATGACCCTTTTTACAAATGGCTATTTTCAAGTCTAGAATATAAAAATGTCTATCTACCATACAAGTGATAACCCGGAAAGCTAGGGTAAATCCCCTGTTAAACCCTTCACCCATACCAAGTATCATTGGCGCAGTATGTGTGCAGCCCGTTTTGAGAGAGGCATCTCTTTCAGCCGAGGTGCAGCGTTGTTTAATTCCTTTCGCAAATCAAAAGAGATGCAGTGGGCTGTCTGTGACGTGACGCTCAAAGGCGCTCACGCTTCTATACTGTATATGCTCTGTTTGAAATGACACCAGTGCTAAAATAATAATAATAAAATAAAATGGCCATTTAGTTTGGTCAGGACTTGCTCTTTTTCTTGTTTTCTTGTAACAAGTCTGCAGCAGTACACCTTTTAAAAGTATTTTTTTTTCCTCCATTAACTTTTAATAAGTCACAGAAACTTCGCATTTGCTTTGGCAGTGTCTAGAATGGGATGCTGACTCTCTTAAGCATTGCAGGATGCTTGGGGAGGCTCGCCTGCTCTCTTTCTCCCACCCAACGTGTCCAGTGTTGCATCCTGAAAATGTGGCTGCTTCCTTTTAAAACGACAGGCAACATCTCAGATGAAACCAGCTGTGGGTTCTTCTCTTCCTGATGAGGAAGGCACAGCTCGTTCATCGCCATGTCTTCCCCTCACTTTGAAAAATCACAGAATGAGTCTTCAGGTTGGGCCATGGCGAGCCAAGGAAAGGGTTCTTGATTAAATTACGAAGCAGATCTCTGAAAATTGCAGATGTTGAGCCTGACGGACAGCATTGTTTCAACCACACTTCAACGCTATTCCTGGGTAAATTTGCCCCATTTTTTCCTAGTTTTTGCCAATCAGTTGTTATTGCAACTTTAACAAAACTTTTGGGATGAACCCTGGCTTCCCCCTTTCCTCTTCAGTATTGAAGCCGGAGTATACTTGATAATGAATAGTGTAGGGCAGAGAAGGCTACGTCTGTATAGGGAAACTTTTCTGCAAAGTGGGGGATCTGCCCCAGTGCAAATAGGAATCCTTCCATTCACACAAGCAACTCTTGGATACAACTCATTGACTTTAGAAATGTGCCTCTAGTAAATGTTTTCCAGTTTTTGCCTTTTTAGAGTGTTGCATTAGCTCATGTCAGACTATAGTTATATGAAAAATTCTTGGAACAAAATGAGGTTTGTTTCCTTTCATCCATTTCTTCTCTGGTTCCTTGTGTCGTTGGACATTTATTTTGGAAATGCTTGTTGAAATCTCTGTTTGTTGTAATTGTTTCCCTCCCACACACAAACCACACAGAGATATTTACAGTGTTGGTTGATAAGCAGGTATCTGTAAAGAAATATACTGTGTAAAATGGTGGCGTTTTAATCTGTTAACATGCTAATCTGTACTTTGTATCAAGCCATTCTCTCCATCCTTGTCTGTCCAAGTTTATATATTAAGAGTTTTATGATTTTATATTTATACAGATATGAGTTTACTATGTTCTCATACAGCTAATGTTTGAGACTAATTATTAGTCTTTGCAGATTTGATTTGTTTCTTCAGTCAATTCCTCCCCATCCCTGCCCCATCTTGTTTCTGAATGAGACAGCACTGATTTACTTTGTGTGTGTGCCTCTAAGTGTGTGTGTGTGTGTGTCTCTGTGTGTGTTTAATGTTCTCAAGACTTATATGTACATGTCTTGGTTTCTAGTTATTGATTTGCAAAGTTTTCACATATTTCATACAGCAGCTTTACCATTCAAACAAAATATGCTGTCTAAATATGTGTGTGCTAAAAATAAAAAAAAAACCTTAGCTTATCAGAAATACCTGCATTGTTATGTTTTGTGTTTAATCATTAAATCATTCTTGATACCTGTGCTTGTGTTTTAATATATTGACACTTTAATAGACCCAATGCAGCATTGTAACACCTGTTACTATTTAGTATTTGTATTTTTACATGAGATGTTCCAATTTTTTGCCCTTACATACCACCAATTACTGATGAACATTTTTCTCCCCTTTTTGGTAATTCCAGGAATAAATAAGCCAAGTTAACTTAACTTTTAAAAGGAAAAAGTTAAACAGCATTCAGCAAAAATTAACTTTAAAAATTTCTCCATTTTAATTTTTCTCTTGTGTTTTTCTCATGCTCCTCCCCCGTTGTTTGCACGGAGAAGAAAATTCCCACTGGCATTCATGAGAGTTTTCCTCTTGTCACAAGTAGACCCCGATTCCAATTATGACGAATGCAGGTGGAGGAAAAGGGTTGAAAAGGCTCTTTTTGCCTCCTTGTCCTGGTTTGAAGTAGTGGTTCTGCACTGGGAGTTGTTCAGTATCAATGAGAAATGCCATCTGAGTCAGAAACTGGGTCAAGTACAAAGCCTAAGAGATTTGTAAACTGCAGCTCACGGAATGATCTTTATTGATGTCCAGACCTGAAGCAAAAGTGAGGAGTCTTATTTAGGCCTGTTTGCATTTTCTTTCTCTCTCTCTCTCTCTCTTTCTCTCTCTCCCTCTCCCTTCCCCCCCCCCCAGATTCATATTTGAAAGACAAAACTATTTTATAACACCAATAAGCTCATGGAGCAGTTTTTAACAGTCAGTACAGCGACAGATAATTGCCTACTCTATATTTAGCTGTTTTATTAAAGTATTTTAATAAAAATGTAAAAAAATTAAAACCTCCTGTTGTTTTGTACCCTACATGCCCTTTAAGCTGCAATTCTATATCTACTTAACTTGGAGAAGGTCCCACAGCACTTGGTCAGGATTACATCTGAGTAGATACTGAGGGAGGCTATGTTCCTGGGCAGGGGAGGACCTTTGACCTCTTCAATGGAGATGTGTACTTTAAAATAATTACTGTTTCCTTCCACTGAATTTGTTTCTAAACTGATAGAAAGGAATATTTGTAGCTAAGGGTTGAAACTGGAGGATCCTCGGCGCTCTCTAAGCTTGGTTATTTTCTTGCAGATATTTCATTACCAAATGAGGTAACATCACTACTACTGCTGGCAGGGCAAGCTACTGTATGTAAACAAGCAGCAAACCCCTCACTCAGTGATACTGATGATGTTACCTAGTTTGATAATGAAATGTCTGCAAGAAGACCACCAAGCTCAGAGAGCACTAAGGACTCCACAATTCCTAAACCGCTCAGGAGTTCCATTTACAGATGTGGAGAGGCTCTTCCTTTACAGTCTTAAATGAAACCAAAAGTCCTTCCCAAGCTGACCTTGTTTAACCTCCAGGTGACATCTTCCCTAGAGCAGAGTTCCACAACCTTTCCGTGTTGGCAGCCCGGACGGAGGAGGGTGGAATGGGGATGATTTTGTGGGAGGGGCAGGCGTGTGTGCGTGCACTGAGCACCTATTGTGCAAGTGGAGTTGCAAGCGCCTGCAACACTTGCACAAGTCAGGCCCTGAGTGCTCATGCAAGTGGGGCCACAAGCACCCACAATCTGTGCAGGTGAGGCCCTGAGCACCTATGATGCTCGCATGAGCAAGGCCCTGAGCGCCGGTTATGCTCACGTGAGTGGAGCTGTGCATGCAGACCCATGCACCAGCCAGACACTTATGGCCCGGTTACAAATAGGCCACGGACCAGTAGTGGGCCATGGCCCACAGGTTGGGGACCCCTGTCCTAGAGGACAGGAACCCTTCCCCCCCCCCTTGACTTAGCGAAGGCAAAAGAATCTCCCCTTTAGAATGTTCTTTCCCCTTCCAGATTTTCCTTGGCTTTGGTGATCAATGAGAGAAAATATCAAGTGTTCCTGTTCACTTCCTTGCCAGATTGCAAATTTATCATTGCCAGTTTCTTTCAGTTTATTTAATGGCAGCTGGATCTGTAGAGTGAAACAGCATTTATATCATTTAAAGTCTATTTCTGGAAACCTGCTAGGTCATTACTCATATCAATGGATAAGGTATGTACCTGCACAATACCGCCAGGGGTGGATTAATTTATGACGAGGCATCTCACAACATTGGGAAGGTTGCAGGATGGTTTCTAGCAAAGTCAGTATGGTAACAGACAATTGCCACCTGATGTTTTGCTAAAGTGCATTAATAACATTTTAAAGTTTCCTGTTGAGGCAACAGATGAGAAATTAGTAACGCTGGGATGATCAATCCTGACTTCAAAACTCCAGGTGGTCAGTAGATGGCAGCAAAGATTTTAGAGAGGCTTTTAGCTTCTTTGCTGTCATTTGGAGATCTGGAATGTGGCAGAATCTCTTCCTTTTTCCTTGTTCCCATTATGTGTTTGTGGATGAATCGGCAGACATAGTGAGTGATTACACAACTGGTGGGTGCTTTGCATATCTTTTGGAGATTAAATACATTTTCACAAAGGAAAATGGCAATTTGCATTACACTTGATATACGTGCTTATTTGTTCTCAAGCCATCTCGTGCTTCTTCAATATGTTATGCGATCTGCTCACTGTTGAAGGACAACGTCAGGGTCCCTATTCTAGCTGAGGACCTTTAATCAAATTTTGATGGGGGTTTAAAGATACTTTCACAGAACACACCTTTTAACGGGGCTCTCATCTCCATAAAACAGCAGGCACACCAGGCATCATATTTGCATGTTTCCAACAGATAAGTGGGCTTTCTTGGCTCTTACATTATACTGGTGTTAAAAACAGATACCTGGAAGGTTAAATGAATTTTGAGTTGATCATTCATATTGTGGCAATGAATCGAAGATCACTCTTATGTCACCTTATGGAAAGGTTTCATTTCTGAGAAGGAAATGAAGTCGGGAACATAGGCCTCAAAGATCCCCTGTTCAAAACAGAGTGTACTTGGTAGGGAATAAATTGATATAATTTACCTGCTGGGCACATTTCTGTCAGCATACAGCAAGTGCACAGCTGTTATTTATTGATACGAGACGCATTAGTCCATTGCTAAAGCTTTTAGGAGAATTTCAGTGGGGTGGAGGAGGTCACTGTGGGTATTGCATTCTATCAAATGGATTCATGAGCAATCTTCTTGATTTTTTTTTTTAAGTCTGCCCATTAGAAATGCCCCTGGACAGAAAGCGGTGGAGACCATGAGTTCTGGTCCTCCTTAGTCATGAAAGCCAGCTGGGTTACCATGGGCTAATTTCTCTTTCTCTCAGCCCAACTCGCCTCACAGGGTTGTTGTGGGCAAAATAGGAAGAGGAAGAAATATTAAGTATATTTGCTGCCTTGAATTATTTGTAAAAATAATAAAGGCAGAATACAAATAAATATTTTTTTAAATAAAAAATCATAACCTGCCTGACAAGGCTGTGATTCTATGGTCCTTGGAGAAACCAAGTGAAGGTCATTCTTGTCAGGCTTCAAAAATCAAGAAAGACACATAGTGATTCTTCCAATCAGGTGTCTTTATTGTTCTACGCCTATAGACAGAATCTTGCCAAAGTGAAACAAATGACTATCTAGTGAAGCATGTACTCTGGGAACTATTAGGGAGGGGTTGTCTTCACCCTGTTTCTGTCACACAAATTATATGAACTGAGTTGTTTCTTGCTTCCCTGGAATGCCCCCCTCCCTCCTAGGAACCGAATCTGAGGAAATGCCCCTTCTGGGGCAAGTCCCACATCCCAAAACAGCCCCTTACATGAGTTTCTAATACCTGCTGTGGCTTTCTTTTCTCTGATTAGCACAGGAAGCCAGGACAGCAAAGTCTTGTACGTCCTTCAGCCCTATAACTACGTGCTTCATTTCATATTGCTCAAGATATCCTGGTGTGATTGCTCATCACAGTTGGCTGAGTCGAAAACTAATGGAGTATCCACCTCAGTTGAGAAGGGACATGTTCTTTCGTCTTGTGCTGGGAACAAGATTCATCTTTCCCAGCTCAGGAGCACTGATGTTCTTCCAAAGCAATCAACGTAACTGGAAATGGTCATTAAAAGGCTATTAGGTTTTTAAAAAAACTTCCCTCTTCTTTGCCAATTTTATGTTGCCTTTAATCTAATGGAGTGACCTTTGCTCTTGCAGAAAAAACACATATTTAAGTTTTATTCCAAACTCAGGCTTTACAGGTTGTCTGACAAGAGCATTGCTTTTGTGTGTTCCCATGCTTCAGTAATCCAACTCTCTGTTAATTCTATCTCTGTAATTCCATCTTTTTCAGGTACCTCAAAAGTTTATACTAGAGAAAATGAATTTTGTAACCCTAGAACTACCAGATCTGGATTGCAAAGTTCCTAGTTCCTGTAATTAGTCATGACTGGGAAGGGCCTGAGTGCCATCTAATGGCTACAAGGATTTGTGCAAACATGAAAAATGATACCTAGGCTTGCCCAACTCATTAGTCTACCATACCTGAAATGTAAAACTCAGGATGATCACTAGATGGCGGCAAAAAGTGTATAGGCAATCCATACTTAGTTCATATTATGATACCAGTGAAAAAGTAACTTTACAACCAATCATCACATTTATGACCATCAGAGATCTATAAAGCAAAGGAAAACTGAATGAGATCGTAAGCCTATTCACAATTTCATTTAGTGACCGTTTGGCTTAACAACTGAGTTAATGTACCAATTGTGGTTGCTAAACAACTATCTATAATTCCTTCTATCCAGTGATCATCCAGATTTTCCAGTCCAAATTAACATGGCTGTCTCAAGAGTTAGAGAAGTGGCAGAATAAGAAAATACTGGGGGGGGGAACCCCAATATTTTTCTAATTTCATATTGTCGCATATGCTGTAACAAACTTTTTAAAATGTTTTATAAAAAAAGAGCATTCTAGCTTGATAAAGTTCTTCAATGTTGAAAATGAATGCTGCTTTGCAAGAATAATTGGATTACACTTTTTTTAAAAATTGCATATTTTTGAACTTGCATTTGTTTTATTTTTTATTATT